CTGTTTTCACTATTCTTTATGTCTGATTTGCATACTTCAGTGTGAGGATATAATTTGTAAAATGTATCTTTTTGCAAAAAGTACGACAGACAATGGGTTTTGTGTTTTGCACGGATCATCTGATTTAACTATTAACGGTATGTATTTACTGGCAGTGCTATACAGTTATTTAAAAAAATATAGCAATTTCTACATATGTTAGGTTGTGAGTTATTCAAGTCAATCTCGCTTGTTAGGTATTAATTATTTAGTTGTTCAAATGAGAAAGGCATGTGCGACTCAAAACTCGTTGAAATCCTTGATTTTCTTGTATTAGATACATGACCTTATTCTATTTAATTACCGTATAATATAAATCTAATATATTTGCTTTCACTTTTTTCAAACACCCTTGTATTGAAGTGAAAAATGATTGGACTCAGGATTAAGATTCAGAGCATAAAAATATAAGAAGAAAATACCAACTTGAAGAGGTTGAAGAATGACTTCACTTAGAAATAAGAAATTGCCTCCCCACATGCAGTGTGGATAAAAGTTAGATTGTTTAGTATGGCATGGCCATGTCAACATGATATTCCTTAATTAATTAATCAATTAATTACTTTTTTAATTTTTTCATTAGAAAAAATATATTATGATTTTTTTTTTAAAAAAAAATTATCTATCATTCATCTTATCTACTATCGGTTAATCAACCAAATACACTCTAAATTTGATGATTTTTGTTGTTTGTAATTAATTTTATCAGTTAAATTAATTAAACACCCACTTAATGACATTGTTAAATAACTCCATTAAGTAACTATGTTATGTAGTTTGGAGTTAATTCTCCATTGAATTTGTCTCTTCGGGAGACAACTATATAAGTAGATGTTTTGTGCATCTCAAAGGGTGGAGGATAAAGAACAAAACAACACAAATACTATAAATATTTATTTAGTGCATATTCTCTTGTTGAGCCGAAACCATCACAAGGCGACTCGAGTTTTAGAGCGTGGAGAATACCGACGACTCTAGTAGCCGTCGGATAAAAGATATGGACAAGTATTCACTTCCGCTACATAAAGGTTAGTCCTATATATATTTATATATACGTTATATAAAACCACTAACAATTTTATTTTCTTCAAACTATACCATGAAATTATAACTAATTTATTATGCTCAAAGCCCCCATATATGGAAGGTTTGCTACACATACCGATTAAAATAAATAAATAAATAAAAAGTTCGCTACACATCAACTAGTAAAAAATAAAAAAATCAAATTTCCAGGTGAGGCCAACTACAGATCCACCCTTAACGAGGTCCCGTGATCCACTAGGCAACAAACTAGAATATGTTTAGCCGTGAAAATCGTGCAGCAACTGAAGGGCCATGGTTAATCCAGGTTGGATAACACAGGGAGCAGAAATTAGGCAAATCCTGTATCTGTAGAGACAGAAAATAAAATCAAAGCGGTATGCTCTATCGTTATCCAGTAATTACCCACAGATATATATATTATCCATATGTAATAATTTATTTGTTTTATACATTCAACCCCACTAGATGTTAGCTGTGTATCAGTGTACGCCCACCAACTGTTTGTTCAATTGACAGGCACGGCCAGGGAGGTTTTTCAGTTCACACATTCTGACCAAGCTCTTTCCCACACACGCGTCTACACACTGTGCTTGTTGTTCAAATAGGGGCGGCTCTCTTTATGGTGATCCCAAGTTTCCCACAGTTAAAGTTTGGTTACCGGTTCATTTATTGACTGCTAGCTGTCTGGTGCTTCATTAATTTTCAGCCTTTTGTTTCTCCATCTCCAGTACTTTTCTGTATATTGAAACTTACACAAGTGAAACAATACCTTCTGGGTTCTTGTCTGTTAGCTCCAAGATTCAACCTTTTTGGTCCATTTGTTGGAAATTGATAGGTGATCTGGCTGCGGGTGGCTTGTCCTAATTGGGTTTCTGAAGTTGTTGATTGATCTTCTCTTTTTGGTTGATTTTCATCCAATTCTGGTTCTCTCACTCTATATATAATTGAGCCTTTCTTTTTTCCCAGTAGAATTTGTTGAAGGACATCTTAGATTTTTTCGTAGATCTACGGTCTCCCCCAATCCTACGTAGTGCTCCACCTTTTTAGCTTATTTTTTTCGCGTACTAATTTTATTATACAAAAGGAGTAATAAAGGATAAAGCTGTATTGAGTTTTATCAGCTGTGATAGTTTTTTTCTTTTTATGTACACGAGGCTTTTTAAGGGTAAGGCTAGTGTTCACTGTCTCGTTCATTTCTCTTTTACAGGTCTGGAGCTTATCTTTTATGCGCATGTTGTGATCAATAGTGTGAATTTGCTCAGATGGAAAGTCTTGAGTTTTTGGTGGATAAAAGATTATAATCGACTCTAGTTCAAATCTTGATGGCTCATTTGTTTAAAAGGCCCCAAAACCTTTTGAAGAGCCTTGATGCGCTTCATTCCTAGTTACCAGCTGGTGGATTCTCATTGAGTGGGAAATTTTAGGACATTTGGGTCAGCAAAATCTCAAGAAAAATTATAAAATTGGAGATTTTTCTAACGGATCCAAATACGGAGACTACTAGTTGGTGTGATTTGCCCGAGGGCCTCGAGTGCGTACTGAATATAATAAGGGCCCTTCCAATGGGGTCCTGCTTTTCAAGTGAAAGCAGGAGCCCTCTACCTAGTTCGCCTGTGGGTGCTAGGAAGAAAAAGGGTTCGAAAAGGAGGGGCGTCTCACGAGAATCTTCCTTTGACTCTAGGAAGGAAGAACAATTGCACCGGATTTCTGGAAGGTTGTTCTTGAATGGTTCAAGCGAGATTGCTTCACTTTACACTAAGCAAGGCAAGAAAGGGATCAATCAAGATGCCATGATTGTATGGGAGGTTAGACCTCTCTTCTACTGCTTTTATACTCGTAGGAATAATTCAATCTATGTGTGCAAGGAAAAAAACAGAAGAAAAAAGAGTTTGGAATGAGTTTACTGTAGTAGTACTCTAAGACCCTTTTGCAATCCCTTTTAACATTTCTATAATGATACTTATCTTTTACATCTGATTTGCTGGTACAACATCTGATTTGCTGGTACAAATTATTAAATTATTGTGGAATACCTTGAGCAAGTCTTTGTATGTATCGGAGGTTGAACGCTTTTGAGTTTGTGATTTTACAAGGTTTTGCATTTAGTTAAGATTACCTTTTCGATCCTAGGCATCATTTGTTATGATGCATATTTTCTTTGGATAGGACATATTTTTTACTCTGGTAGTCTGATTTGCTGTATCCAGGGACAAATTTTCTGCATGAAATAGTTCAGCTAAAATTTTATATAATTCGTTAATCTTTTGTGGATTATGATTTCCCAATTTCTTAATGCTTGAAACCTGTTTTGTTGAACAATTTCTACACGCTACCTATGTTCTCGTCATTGATAACAAAAGACTGCATTATCTGACTTCTTGAGAAACATGATAATGCAGAACTTTGGTTCGAGAACAGACACTGTTTTCTGTGGTGTTTTTGACGGCCACGGTCCCTATGGTCATCTGGTCGCAAAACGAGTTAGAGATTCTCTTCCTCTGAAACTGACTGCAAACTGGGGAGTTGATATAAAAAGTGACGAGATTCTTAGGGCTTCCAGTTTAAGCACTGTGGAAAGTTTGCGCACAGATGATACTTCCTTTGTGTCTGTTGATGAGGAAGCTAGAGCATCCATTGATGATATTGACGATAAGCGATCAGAGGTCTTTGAGACATTGAAAAATTCTTTCCTGAAGGCCTTTAAGGTTATGGACAAGGAGTTGAGGATGTATTCGAATATTGACTGCTTTTGCAGTGGAACAACAGCAGTAACCTTGGTGAAACAGGTAATCATGCAATAAGTTTAAGGATCAATTACAAAAAAAATATCCCCGTGCCTCCGCGTGGTAGTAAAAACTGTGCTCTCTTTTAAATTACTCGATTCTTGCTGATATTTGATTCTACCAAACAATTTGCATCCTTAATAGGGAGTAAGTGTGTATCTGAATTCTGAAAGAAATACTGATTCATTTTGTAAACAGACTAAGCTCAAGGGTTGTTTTGGTGATATGCACTTAATTAAGTTATACTTTATAAGACAGAAGACTTAATCTGATTATCTTCTGCAGGGTCAAGATATTGTAATTGGAAATGTTGGGGACTCAAGAGCTGTATTGGGTACAAGAGATCAAAATAATCTACTAACTGCTGTCCAATTGACTGTGGATCTTAAACCTAACCTTCCAGGTACTTATCCTTCCCTACTAGTTCTACTTTATTTTATGAAATTAACTCTAATTTTTTTTTTCCTTAATGGGATGGGAACCAAACAATTTAAATACCCCAAAAGATGATCTTATAGATTCCTTGCTATTAAACACTATCCCTTTATTTATTACATCTCTGCTTTCTTAATATTGCAGCGGAAGAAGAGAGGATCCGCAAGTGTAAAGGACGTGTTTTTGCCCTTAAAGACGAGCCTGACGTTGCAAGAGTGTGGCTGCCGAACATTAACTCCCCGGGCCTTGCCATGGCCCGTGCATTAGGTGACTTCTGTCTCAAGGACTTTGGCCTCATATCTGTGCCAGAAATCTCGTACAGGCGCATCATGGATGAAGATGAGTTCATTGTCTTGGCAACCGATGGGGTATACCAGCCCACTTACAAAACTCCCCATAAGATATAGTTGGGTATATTTGTGATTTTAATGTAAAAATATATTTTGCAGATTTGGGATGTTCTGTCGAACGAGGAAGTGGTGAAAATCGTGGGTTCTTGCGCAACACACTCGAATGCCGCTCGAACGCTAGTGGAGTCAGCTGCCAGGTCATGGAGGAGCAAATATCCAACTTCAAAAGTTGATGACTGTGCAGCCGTTTGCCTCTTTCTTGGCTCAAACGAGTGTGCTTGCTTCACAACCAATACTAATGAGAATATATCATCACTTGAACAAACCGATGCTGCCAAAAATGACGATCTTCCTGGTCCAAATGGATTGAACCGTTCAGAAACTGTCCGAGAGGCCAATGAGGAAGAAATTTCAGTCGACGAGCCAAAAAACAATGAATATGGACAGGATTTGGATGGAGTTTCTCGTGTAAACACACTGTTGACCGTGCCAAGGTTCCAGTAAATGCATAAAACTGCGTAAATGAAGGGTACAAGGTTTGCATAAATATCTTGCTAGTGATTTACGTNAATTCTCACATTGATTGTAATTGTGACAATGCAGCTTTCTTTTGGCTTAAGCTGTGTAAAATGTGTGACTTATTTCTCAGTAGTTTGAACTTTGAAGAGACTTCAAAGGAAGATATGATTATCAGCTTTTGGTTTCAGAGTATCAGATTTTATGTGTTTGCTAATGTTAGCTTCTGATTGGGAGGGCTTTACTATATTTGTGAAATGGCCCAGCTTTTTTATTAGTCAATTTTATGCCAACTCATGGTTCTCTGCACAGGGAAACCTTTCTGTGTTAGTACTCTTAGTAGCATTTGTGGCCAGCAAGAAAGAAAAAAAAAAAAAGAAAAAAGAAAGAAAGAAATTATGCCTTTTATTTTGTCCACAGGGCAAAGCCAACACAATAAAGAATCTGATTAATACTTTCGTTTTCATGACAATTTGAGGAGAGCACAGATAATCACAAGTTCCAACTATAAAACAAAAAATTAGGACAAAAGTTAATAAGTATCTCTTTTTAATTGTGACTTGCTAGGCAATGAGCCAATGACCCGAAAATTAGGTTATGAAAGTATTTCTGTTTAAATGTGACTTGCAAGTAAGGTCATGAAAGTATGAGCGAATGTCCCCAAATCTATACTTATATAATAAGAATTAACATTTATCCAAAATAGTAGGTCCAATTATGGTCAATGTCGAATTTGAATTAAATATTTTCCAAAACAGGTAAGTTTTTGTCCTTTTCACATTCTCATTAATTATGTCCTTTTCACACTTCTCATTAATTATGTCCTTTTCACACATCTAATTAATTCATTAATTACGACATAATTATCATAAATCATTCCATATGAGCTTTTATCGTTAGAATGTATAGCGATCTGTTATGACCTTATCCTATTGATATTTCCATGAAGCGTACTTAGCGCGTTCTATTTTTTGGTAACCACTCTATATCAATAACCGGATATTTGGTTAATGATAGCACACGTCTTTATTTCAAGGAGCGGATATTCTTTGACTTTTAATTAATCTGAACTGATTGCCTTAACTTTTCAATTTTTAAAAACTCTTTTTTTAAAATATTTCGGTTTAAGATTCGAATTTCATTATACAAGTCATCGGATTGTTTGATGAAAATGAATGAAAAGAACACCAAAAACAGGTAGCCTTATTCATATAACCAATCCTAAAATATTAGTTTGTTCACCAAAAAGAGATAAATCTTAGAAATCCTAAAATATTAGTTTGTTCACCAATCCTAAAATATTTGTTTGTTCACAAAAAATATTAGTTTGATTTTTAGGATTTGTCTCTTTTGAAAATATTAGTTTGTGATAATGAGGAATTACCAATAATCAAACTCATAATGTTGTGTACAAGGAGGTTTTTAATAATATATGATTGTTACCGACTTTTTATGATTCAACAATGTTCCTTTGTATTTTAATGATTTCAATTTCGATTCTAATGCACGTGAGGTTATATTATTCTTCCAAATTTTATATCCTGTGCATCGCACGGGTTACGTACTAGTTAGGTCATGAAAGTATTTCCCTTTAATTGTGACTTGTGTGAGGTACTGCTAATCCTCCAAAACTTATTGACAAAATTGTGTATTAAATATTATTAGTACAACATCTGTGTATTACACGTGTGCTTGTTAAAAAAAAATATTTTTAAAATTTAAAATTAATGAGAAAAAAGTGTTTTAAACTTTAAATATCTTTTTTTACAAAAATTATAAATTATTATATATTTTAGAATGACATCTGTTACTTGTGTGACTTACAAGTTTTATATTATAATAATTTTTCTAACTTATATCATATAACTACTGTAAACATAAATATATTAATTGATAAATAATTTTATTTTTTTAATTAATATTAAAATAATTTTATTATTATTAAAAAGATAATTATAGTTTATTTATTTTATAAATACATTATGGATATCAAATCGAAATACATCAAGAGATGATTAATTTGATATATTATATATGTAAAACTGGCAAAAAATACAAAAATTATTAACTTTTAAAATACATTTACAATTCAATTGTTATAATAGGAAATGATATTAAAATGCAATTACAAATATAACATGACCATAAATAATCAACATATTTATGGATAATCCAAACTTAATTATTTTTAAATTGGAAGTAAATTAAAATATATCCAGGCTAAATAATGTAGCATAGAATTTTGCCAATAGGTTCCCCAAGCATGCGAGTCTGTCACTTAGGCTCAGCACATTCAGTAATTATATATAAGGGGCATATGTAATACATGATGAGCTAATAGATTAATTAATTGAAGAGGAAATTGCACCCTGTACAACACCAATCAATTTTTATTGTAAAATTACCACATGCATAATATTAATTACAAAATTACTAGATATATAAAAAATAATTAATTAAAGTATACAATTAATTGATTAGCGTAATTAAAGGTAGACTTTATCTCTCCCCTTATCTCTTCTTCTCCATTCTTCTCTCCCCCTTCTCTCT